TTTTTCAAGAAAAGCCAGAAACCTGGATCATGTGAATCTATCAAGTTTTAGACTAAGGCAACGAATTCAACTAAAAACAACAACAAAAAACCACTAGGGCCAAACAGAACACATCTACAGGATGCCTGTGGCCTACAGGCTGCCAGTGTGTCACCTCAGCCCACAGGCTTAGAGCACGTCCATAGAGTGGACCTATGCGAAAGGTGAGACACCTGGCCTGTGCTGCCAGGCAGGGCATACAGACTTTTCCCACAGGAGCCTCTTTGACACTTACATTCTGGGCCACAGGGCTGAAAAGACGTGATTCATAATAATAGCCCAGCAAGAAAGATTAGCTGCAAAATGCACCTGCATAGTTGAATGAAATGATCTATTGCATGGTGCCGGCTAGTGTCGTCTGCTTAAATGACAAAAACTGACACACAATTTTCATTTCAATCCTTGCCAGAGCGAATTTGCTATCAGATTAGCCACCGATGTGATCAGTCCTATTAAATGTCTTTGCTGTGTTGCTAGGTTTTATAAATTAGGATAAGTCGACCTAGCTGGTTTGGCTCAGTGGTTAGAGTGTTGGCCTGTGGACTGAAGGGTCCCAGGTTCGATTCCGGCCAAGGGCATGTACCTCAGTTACAGGTTCGATCCCCAGCCCTGTTGGGACATGTGTAGGAGGCAACCAATGGATGTGTCTCTCTCATATCCATGTATCTCTCTCTCTCTCTCTCTCCCTTCCACTCTCTCTGAAAAGCAATGGAAAAAAATATCTTCAGGTGGGGATTCAAATAAATAAATAAGGATAAGTCATTTAGTTTAAACTGAAAGAATAAGAGAGAGAGAAAGAGACTGAGATTGCTAGTCAAAACAAGACATGAGTCTCAAGAGGGTCTTGTCACACTTCTCCAAGCTTCCCAGCACAGCACAGCACTGTCCCGTCAGCAGTGGTCACACAAATGTTCCCTGGTTTCTTTTTCCACCCCCTGGTCTTTTGAAGATAAGAGTAAACCCAAGGCCTGTGAATGCCTCTGACTCATAGAAAAATCTGCTCATTTTCATGGGTCTATTCGTGTGTTACAGTATTTTAAAATAAATGTGATATGACACATTGTAGCAGGAGGAACTTAGGTTAGATATTAAAAACACTGTCCTGACTAACAGATTGTGAAACATTAGAGCAGGTTACAAATGAGGAAGTGGAGGCTCCATCTATGCAGGACTTGTCCGCAAGGTAAACAGCTGACTCTGTTGGTCAGATGCTATCACTGCTGAGGTGGGAAAGTGGTATTTGTGCGATGTGTCTGCTCCAGGCAGGTCTTCAGTCTTTTTTTTTTTTAAGTCTTCACTCTATTTTTTTTTTTTTAAGATTTCTCTTTCTTTCTCTCTTTCTTTCTTTCTTTCTCTTTCTTTTTTTAATTTATTGATTTTAGAGAGAGAGGAAGGGAGAGAAACAGTCCGAGAGAGGAAGGGGGGGAGAGAGAATCACTGATTTGTTGTTCCACTTATTTATGCATTTATTGGTTGAGTCTTTTTGTGTGTGTGTGTTTCTTTTTTTTTTAAATATATCTTTATTGATTTCAGAGAGAGGAAAGGAGAGGGAGAGAGAGAGACAGAAACATCAATGATGATCAATGAGAGAGCCATTGATCGAGCCCACAACCCGGGCACGTGCCCTGACCGGGAATCGAACCCCGATCGCCTGGATCCTAGGTCCACGCTCAACCGCTGAGCCACCCCCAGCTGGGCTTGGTTGATTCTTGTATGTATCCTGACCAGGACCTAATCCACAACCTTGGCATATTGGGATGATGCTCTAACCAACTGAGCTACCCAGTCAGGGCCAGATCTTCACTCTTTTTCTAATTTTTAAAATATGTTTTTATTGATTTTTTTGAGAGAGAGAGGAAGGGAGAGGAAGAGACAGAGAGGAACATCTGTTGGCCACCTCCTGCACACTGAGCCCACAACCTAGGCATGTGCCCTGACTGGGAATCGAACTGGTGACCTCTCAGTGCATGGTACAATGCTCAACCAACTGAGCTACACCAGCCAAGGCCAGATATTCACTCTTTTTTTAAAAAAAATATGTCTTATTGATTTCAGAGAGAGGAAGGAAGAGAGCCGAAACATCAATGATGAGAGAGTTATCATTGATTGGCTGCCTCCTACACCACCACCCCTCCCCACCGACTGGGGATCCAGCCTGCAACCTGGGCATGTGCCCTGACCGGGAATCAAACCATGATCTCCTAGATCCTAGGTTGATGCTCAACCCCTGACCCACGCCTGGCTGGGCCAGATCTTCACTCTTAATAAGAGCTGCATTTACAAAGAGGCAGCCTGCTCACTGTTCCATGTCCTTTATCTTATCAAATTCTCATAGAAACCCAGGAAGATCAATTATCCCCATATTACAGATGAAGAAACTGAACCTCAGAGAGATGAAATAAGTTGCTCACATTCTCCCTGTTAATAAATACCAGCTAGGATTATGACCCACCTCTGTGTGGCTTCCAAGGCCAGGCTCTTTCTCTGGGGTCATGCTGCTACAGGTCCCTGGACAGAGCAGCCGCAACTGCTTGTGGGGAAGAGAGACCAAAGGGCAGGTTCAGGCAAGGACAACATTAGCACAAGAAAGTGATGAGCCCTGGCCGGTTGCTCAGTGGTTAGAGCGTCGCCCAGCGGACTGAGGGTCCCCGTTCGATTCCGGACAAGGGGAATCCATCAGTTGCAGGCTCGATCCCCGGCCCTGGTCAGGGCACATGCAGGAGGCAACCAATCTGTGTGTCTCTCTCACATCGTTGTTTCCCTCTCTTTCTCTCTGAAAAGCAATGGAAAAAATATCCTCGGGTGAGTATTAAAAAAAGAGGAAGAAGAAAATGGTGAGAGCATTGCTGAGGTCCAAGGAGGAAACCAGTGTCAGGAAGAGAGAGGAGGTGTCCACTGGGGAAAAGACAGAGACACCAAAGGGAGGCACCTCGCTCAGAACCTGGAAGTCAAGGGAGATCTTTCCAGAAAGGAGCTTGCACTCGCTCGCACAGTGCGGGAAGCGGAGACAGTGAACAGGGAGATCCTTCTCAGCAACACTGCGTCACTGCTGAGCCTGCCCAGCGCCAGGCCCAATGCTGCAGACCGGCCCAGCGCAGATTTTCCTTTGGCGCCTCCTGACCTGCTAGCGCTGCGCTTAGACAATTCTCATTCCCACTCCCGCTTCCCCGCCCGGCAACTGTCTCTGCTGTACAGGGTCTGACACACTGTTTCCAGCAATGACTCTGCGACTTGAGCAAGTGCTATAAAGTCCTTGTGCAGAATACCTGAACTCACGGACCTTTCCTTCTCTAAAACCGTGTCCCTGTGGTTTCCGCCCTGCTAGGGCCCGACCCCTGGAATAGAGTCATTGCTACAGCTTCAGAGAAGGCAGGCTGAAACTGCTAGGTCCCTGCAACCTCAGTATACCGTGTGTTAAGCCACATGGCCTTTCCTACCTAACACTTGTGGCTGGGAAGAGTTAGTGTCCCTATTGCAAAATCAGCCAAAAAAGCAGCTTCAGGTCACCTCTGGAGAGGGGGCCACCTGTAGACTGGGTGAGCTGGGTCCTTCATTCTCTCTTTTAAGAGCTCGTTTCCCAAACTCCTGCATGGACCCCGTAGCTCCAGGCTCTGCGTTCAGATAGGAAATCTAAGGAAATGAACACAACCCCACAGACATCGGGGAGCAGACTCACTGGCTGGGCTTCCAGTTGTTTGACTAGAACTGATATCCAGTTCCTTTCATTAAACTCAGAACTTCCTGGGAGCTCAGGCCTCAGGGAGGGAGCCCTGAATCTACCCTGATGGTCAGTGCCTTCGGGAAGTTCGTTCATTCAGTCTGCACTTTCCTGAAGCCCACCCCTTTACAGGAGGGCAGGAAGAGGAACATTAACCAGAAAGAAACTAAACAAATAAATCAATAAACCAGAAGGAATCTTCTCTGGCCTTGGGTTGGCTCGGTCCACAAATCCACCAATGGGAGGGCACATCTTCCTGAAATAATGTATCTCCCCCACTCCCACCCCACCCCCACCATGAAAAGCTCGAGAGAGCTGACTCCCCTGTGCCTGCAGTGAAAGGTCACTTCTCACCGGGAGTCCCCACCGACCCACCCACCCTTGTGCCATGTGCTGCCCTCAGGGCTGACCCCAGGGTCCCAGGCAGGACCAGTCTCCTGAGCCCCAGCAAATTCAAGCGCCAGGTGCTCCTGGCCACAGTGACTACCTCGGGAATGGGAACATGACTCAGTGAGAGTTCACAAGAATTTAGCTGGGCCTTCCGACAGGACGGACCTCAAGCTCCCCTGGACTCGAGGCACATGCAGTTCAAAGCCTGGTTCTGGGACTGCTGCCAGTCATCCTGCCCCTCTTTGAACCCGCGTCTGAAGGTGACAAGATGAAAGCCAGAGCTGAGAGGAGAGATACAGACGATTTTATTTGAGTTTCATACCCATGCCTGAAGCCATCTCTACCCCGACCTAGACTTTTCACTCGTATAAACCAAGAAATGCCCTTTTGCCAGAAGCCAATTCGGTATGGGTTTTCTGTCACTCAAACCACAAGAATAACAAAAGAAACTTTACCTCTATGGGGTAGTTATTTCCATCTGTTTTTTAAAAGAAAAATAGAAGCAAAGAAGGAAAAAAAAGACGTAGGTTTGTAGCAAGACCAGGTCCTGACATCAACTGGCAGAGTCAGTCCTTTGGCCACAGCTGCCTCCCTCGGTCACAGAGTCCGAGGAAGCACAGGTGAGGTCAGGCTGGAAAGGTGAGCCAGGCCTCCTAGGAACACCAGCTGAGCTGGACTCTGAAAGACAGGTGGGATTGGCTGGCAGAGCTGGTAAAGGTGTTACAGGTAAAGGGAGCGTCATATGCAAGATCATAGATGTGAGAAAACTCAGGGGTACAGAGACAATAGCAAGGACTTTGGTTTGTTAAAAGTATTGGTGTATAACAGGAAACAGAGTTAAGAACATATTAGAATGTTCGGGGAACTTGAACTTTATCGTGAAGGTCAGAAATTCCCGAACCCCACTGTACTAAAATTGGCTTCCGTGGGCTGAAAGTCGATTTTGGCTAGATGAGTTGTACTAGCTCTTGGAGATGAGTTTTATTGACGCAGGAAAGGAGACTCAAAAGAACCCAGTGAGGGGCAAGAGACAAATTCTTGGCTTTGAGTCCCACAAGAGTGTCTTAAAACTAAGACAAGCTGGCGGAACTGAAGCAGGACTCGCCTCTCACACAAAGCGAAATGCTGGACAATTTTTCTTAAGGCATGTCTGAGACTGAAAGCAAGAAAGGGAAACTCCAAGGTGCCAGAAATCAAAAGGGAACCCAAAACTAGCATGGTGAGCAGAATCCTAAACTCAAACAGGAGAGGTCGTACGGATTAAGGAGGGATTTTAATGTTGATGTGGCAACAGGAGATGAGGACTTGAGCTCGGAGAAGTCCTGGAGTTGGAACAAAGGCCCTGTCTACTCCCCACAGGACAGTAAAACTCTGCTTACCAGGCTGGAGAAGGCGCAAGAAAGCTCGCCACGGGCCTGCACCACGGGCGAAAATGAGTCATCGAGGTTAAGCTGGAACCCAAGCCTGTTTCTACACCATGTGGGACCTGCGCCCGAATTGTCCATCAGGTGCAGGTCACAAGATACTGAGCCAACTGTAAAAATTTCACACCTGGACAGCAGGTTAAAATTGGAGAACAACAAATACAAGAAACAAAAATCTTCAAAGCAATCTATGAAAAATGACGAGATTGCCTACAAAAGGCTAACAAACTTCAGCAAGCTGCTCACCAGAAACAATGAGCGCCCGAAGACAAATGAATCACTCGGAATTGCTGATCTATTGAGCTACAAACACAAGGACACGAGAACCAGGAGAATGCTGGGAGCCAGAGAGTGATGTTTTAAGGACGGAGCAGTTATGCCAAAAGCTTCCGAGCAGAAAAATACAATTAGGACAGAGAAATGTCCATTGGATTCGGCAACCGAGAGCCAAGAGATCACTAGTGACTGAGTTAGTGGTTTCACTAGGAAGGTGGGAGGCAGAAAGCAGGTGTGAGGACTTTGAAGTTAACACAAGGAAGTGAGTTTATGTCTCTAAAAACCCCCTGGCTTCAAACACATAGCCAGCCATGACATTTAAAATATGAAAATTATTTTAAAAACACACAACTGGCCCAGCTGGGCGTGGCTCAGCAGTTGAGCCTTGATCTAGGATCCAGGAGATCACAGTTCGATTCCCGGTCAGAACACATGCCCGGGTTGCGGGCTGGGTCCCCGGTCGGGCGCATGCAGGAGGCAGCCGATCAATGACTCTCTCATCACTGATGTTTCTCTCTCTCTCTTTTCCCCTCCCTTCCTCTCTCTGAAATCAATAAAGATATATTTAAAAAGAAGAAAAGAAAAGAGCTTGTGGACCATAATTCCAAAACATGAAAGAAGCTACTTGGTGAGAAAAATAGCCTTTGAAATTAACAATTAGAAATGTTCTCAAATATCCTCTGGAAATTTATAAAAGAGTATAAAAAGACTTTAAAATGGAAGATTAGAAATGTTCAGAGGGGACTGCACACCTTCCATTTCAAAAGGAAATTATTAAGCAAAAATAAGCTGAAATGAAATGATATGGAGGGTAACCAATTAGAAATCCTCGAATTGAAAAATACCCTAATTGAAATATTTTAGGCCACAAACGGGAGAAACTCTAGATTAAATACATTCAAAGAGTAAATTAGAGAATTGGGTGAGAGAACTGAGGAATTTGCTCAGAACACGGCATGAGATGAACAGAAAGAGACAGCAGTTAAAATCATGGAGAGCAGATTAAAAGGCTTAAATGTTTATATAACAGGAGTTCCAGAGAAAGAGAATTGAAAGTACTGGTAGAATTGCTGAGGATCCCCCTACCGTCCCCTAGAATTGAACAAAAAAGCCTTAGGAATGAGAGAAATTTACACTCCCACAAAATTTAAGAATGCTGGGGGAGGGGAAATTTCAGCATATAGAAAGTAAGAAATTCCTCCTCCTGACTGTGGGTGTGAGGGCTTTGATCTGAGCCCAGGGGGTCCTGGTCAGCTGAGGAAAGAGTCCCTGTGCTGCCCCGTGTCAGGTAGTGATTCCCCAGTGCCCACCTTCCTGTTCACCCTCCCGATCATGGCCACCCACAGAGTCCTCATGCTTTTTTGTCAGAAGAATCCACAATGCTCAACCCCTTCAGACCCACAGTGAGACCCAGGGCCTGGAGCTGCACAGGTCTCCAAGGCTCTGGAGGAGACCTGCCTCCTCCCATCCTGTAATCCCCAGCACGCCTGAGAGTCCTCAGAGTTTCTGCTTGTCTTCCATGCCATCACAGCCACCTCGCAAGCAGATCAGATGAGGGCCCCAGTAGCCAAGAGGAAGAAGACAGCATCTCAGAGTCTGGGCCAAACCCCACAAATGTGTCCGTAGGTGCTCTAGATAGGAACGTGCCGGTGAATTTCAAAAAAGAGCCAGTAACGAAGCAGATATGTTGGTACAAAGACCACTTCATTGAGATCTTTCTGAGAGCCTCTGAGCTCATGGCGATGATCTTTGGCCTCCATGTGAAGGAAGTGGATCCCACCCCCTACTCCTCTGGCCTCCCCATCAAAATGGGCCTCACCTATAAGAGGATGCTGCTTGGTGAAAAGGTGCGCCCAAGACCCCATCCCGATGCTTATCCTGAGGTGATCTTCCTGAGGGGCAACCGTGCCACCAAAGAGGAAGTCTGGGAAGTTCTGAATTTGACAGGGACACATTCTGGGAGGAAACACTTCATCTCTGGAGAGCCCAGGGAGCTCACCACCAAAGATTTCATGAAGGAAAATACCTGAAGTACCAGCACGTGGCCAACAGGGATCCTGCGCAATCTGAATTCCCGAGGGGCCTGAGAGCCCATGCTGAAACCACCAGGATGCAAGTCCTGGAGTCTCCGGGCACGGTTCATGGGACGGATCCACGTTCTTTCCCATCTCAGTATGAGGAGCCTTTGCCAATGAAGAAGAGAGAGCCAAGCTAGCATCTGGGCCAGGGCTGTCTCAGCCTCTGGGGCCACTGCCAGTTCTAAGGCGAAGCCCAGCAGCTCCTCCCACACCTGGGAAGTCGGGGGTAGTTTCCTTGTGCATTGTTTGAAGAGGCAGTTCCTGTTCATAGAACTTAGGTCTGAGATGGAACTGAAAGGAACACAGTATATGTGCCTGTGTGTTCCTATTTTATATGTGTAACTTGAAGATTAATTTTTTAATTTTTTTGACATATGTATTAATGAAATATTATTTCTTTTAATATAGATTTAATTAGCTTAAAACTTCCAGGTTTATGATGATATTGATCACACATTTAATGCTCTAATGAGGTTTAGTAGGAAGAGCTTTGTTATTTCTATTTTTTTAATTTAATTTAACTTCTTCCATCACTTTTTATGCCCTCTACCACCCCCACCCATCCCCCTCCATCCCTGCGACCCCCACACGGCTGTCCATACCCATGAGTTCTCTCTCTCTCTCTCTCTTTTTTCCTCAGTCCCTCCATGCCCTCACCCCCACCCCCAGAGCTGTCTGCTTGCTCTCTATCTATGAGTCTGTCTCTGTTTTGCTTGGTAGTTCAGTAAGAGCTTTGGTGTTTCTAAAACAAACTGCTAAAGCTTCTCACTTCGCTACTTGGAATAAGGTAAGAGGGCATTGCTACCGGCATTTACTGAAAATGTGAAAGAAATCACTTTTAAGATAGTTGGGTTCAAGAAGCAGAGATCAAATAAAAGGTTGTCCATTTATTGCCCTCAAACCTTTTATTTTTTTGTTTTATAAAATTAAATGATATATGCTTTAACTTGCTTAATTGTATGTGAATGTGTAAGAAATATATCTCAATAAGTTAGAAAAAAATTAAGAAATTCTTGCCTCTCATAAGCCCTTACTAAATGAGCTACTGGATTTTGATTCTAACATATTTTAACGTTTCTGAAATCATGATGCATATTACAATCAATTGGCAACTTCTTTTTTTCATTTTGTTATCCTTTTTTTTTTTTAAGTCCATTTTAATTTGCTCAGTTTTCTCTGTTCTTCTTACCCTAGTGTGTCTTCAAACTTTCCACCTGCTGTGTAAACCTCCTCTCAGGCATATTTATACCCGTTAGGAGCTCTGTCTCCCATTGACTTGAAGAAGCCTCCCCTGGGGCCTCTGACTTGCTCCAGCATGAACTGGTTGTCCTGCAAACCCTCAGCATCGTCATCTTGGATTCTCCATCCACCATCGTTTGGGGATTTCCTCTCTCTTGTGATGAAGACCTGGTCTCCTGGTTCCTATTCTTCTTTCCTCTTGGGTTAGGCCTTGTTTTAGTGGAGCAAATTCTCCTCTTGTGTCCCAAAAGTGCATTGGAAGTAACATTTCTTGAGACTTGGCATGTCTGAAAATATTTTTTTTCTACTGTCACTTGGTAGCTTGGTAGGGTTAGAATTCTAAGTTGAAAATGATTTTTTTCCTCAGTATTTTGAAGGCATATTCCACTGCCTCCGAGTTTTCCTTGAGAAAGTTGAGAATTCAGATGCATTCTTTTTAAAATATATCTTTATTGATTTCAGAGAGAGGAAGGGAAAGGGAGGGAGAGAGAGACACATCAATGATGAGTCATTGATCAGCTGCCCCCTGCACGCCCCCAACCCGGGCATGTGCCCTGACCGGGAATCAAGCCCCAATCGCCTGGATCCTAGGTCACTGCTCAACTGCTGAGCCACACCCAGCCAGGCCAGATGCATTCTGATCTTCGAGCTTTTGTAGAAAATGGTTCTTTCTCTCTGAAAGGTTTTAGAAACATCTCCTTGTCCACACTGTTCTGGAATTGCTCCATGGAGTGCCAGTTTTCATTCACTTGGCTAGGCTTTTAATAGACTCTTTCATACTTTATGATGGGACCTTCATTCCAGCTCTAACGCTTATCAAGGCCGAAGCCTCATCTCCTGTTGCCATGTCAACGTTAAAATCCCATCCTCAGTGCCTAGGACCTATCCTGCTTCAGCTTCAGCTTCTGCTCACCATACTAGCGCTGGGCTCCTTTTTGGTTGCGGGCACCTGGGAATTTCCCTTTCTTGCCTTCAAGCTGCCCTAGTGATGTCATCCTGTCTCATACTTTTACATTTCATCTATATGCTGACAACCTGCAAATTATATATCCACATTGGACTTCTCCAAACCTGCATATTCACCTGCTCCTCGATATCTCCACTTTTGCGTCCAATAGAAATCTCAAACTCAAAATTCCAAATCAGAACTCGTGAAAATCCCCCTAAATCTGACCCTTCCTCAGTCTTTGGCTTCTCCTTAAATGGCATTCTTCCAGGTGCTCAATCTGAAAATCTCAGAATTACCCTTGACTCTTCTCTGTCTCACACATTCAATGCCATCAGCAGATCTTCCCAACTTCACCTTCAAAACACATCCAGAAAACAGCAAATTTCCACAATCTCCATTGCTAACACCTTGAGCCAAACCACCACCACGTCTTGCCTCAATTATTGAAAGAGCTTTCGATTCAGTGGTGTTGGGCTGCCACTTTGGTGTCTCTGGTGAACTATAGCCTCTGTATTCATGTCCTTGAGAGGGCCCTTTCCCCAAAACTGGGCTGGTCCTATACCCTGCTTTAAATAAGAGAATGTGGCAGCACTGATGCTTGCCAGTGATCAGACGAAGCCTTAAGAAGTCGTGGCAGCTTCCACTTGTGCACTTTTGGAAGCCCTGAGCTGCCGTGTAAGAAGCCTGGCTCTCCTGTTGGGGAGGCCACATGCAGAGGGAGAAGCTAGAGACCACCTGGAAGTGAACCAGGGAATTCAGCAAGAACCCAGCTGTGAGAATATGACCCCGGTATTGCCATTACAGCCAGCCCCCAACTATTTGTGAACACATAGTGGACATTTGAGGCCCAGCAGAAATTGCTAGCCCTGCTGTGCTCCGTCCAAGTTCCTCATGGCCCACAGAACCACGAGTAATAATCAAAGTTTGTTGTTTAAGCCTCTCAGTTATAGGGTAGTTTATTTTGCCACAATATATAACCTAAACTCTAGTGTCCCTGCTTCTTCCTTCACACACCCCTTCAGCCTCTTCTCCCTACAGCCTCCAGGGAGAGTCTTTTAAAATATGAAAGGTCATGTCACTCCTCTGCTCAGAATCCTCCAGTGCTTCTCCTCTGACTCAGAGTAAAACTAAATTCTTTTTCTTTTGTTTTTTTACAATATTAATTGAATTTATTGGGGTGACATTTGTTAGTAAGGTTATATAGGTTTCAGGGGTACAATTCTGTAGTACATCATCTGTATAAAACCAAAATCTTTACCACAGCCTCAAGATCCCAGCAGTGGCAAACAAAGGCCAGTGGGCAAATCCTTTACTGTCAAAAAGAAAACTTTTGCACTTTTAAACGTTGTTTAAAATGAAAGATAAGAGAGAACCCTCAATAGAGACCATAGTGGCCTGCAAAGCTTAAAATATTTACTACCTGGCACTTTACAGAAAGGGTTGTTAACCTCTGCCCTGATGACCCTGGGCTCATCTCTCCCCCCACATTCCCCTTGCTCACCCAGCTCCAGGAAGACCGGCCTGACAGTGATTTCTTGAGATTATTCCAACCGGCCAAGAACGCTCTTGCCCTGAGGCCTTTGTCCCTGCTGTTTTCTCTGCCTGGAATGCCCCTCTCCAAGATACCTGCCCAGCTGACTACTTCTCTTCCCTCAGGTGTTTACTACAATGACCCCCTCAGTGGACCTTTTCCGACCACCTTTTAAAATTACAANTCCAGCTAGTCTTCAGTTGAATTTCAGGATGATTTTCAGGATGGTTTTTCTATGTTTTAGTTGTAAAGCCAGATTGGTCCCAGGTAAGGGTCAGTGTAGCTTCCACTCAGTATGCTGCCATCTTGGATTTTTTTTTTTTTTTTTTTGGATCATGTATCCCTATCTGGTATATATTTTTGTCTTTTTGTTGTCTTGGCTTATTTTCTATATTCTGCCACTAAAATGTAAACAGGAACCTTTGTCTGCTCTCTGTGGACAGGAACCTTTGTCTGCTTTCTGTCTTTTTATTTATTATTTATTTATATTTATTTTTTAAACCTTACCCAAGGATATTTTTTCATTGTTTTTCAGAGACAGTAGAAGGGAGAGGGAGAGAGAAAAAGAAACATCAGTGTGAGAGGGACACATCAATTGGTTGCCTCTCGCATTCGCCCTGACCAGAGCCAGGGATCGAGCCTGCAACCTAGGTACATGCCCTTGGCTGGAATCGAACCTGGGACCCTTTAGTCCACAGGCGGATGCTCTGACCACTGAGCCAAACCAGCTAGGGCTATTTTTTATTTTTATTGATTTCAGAGAGAGGAAGGGAGAGGGAGAGAGAGAAATAGAAACATCAATGATGAGAGAGTCATTGATCGGCTGCCTCCTGCATGCCCCCCTGCTGGGGACCTAGCCTGAAATCCGGGCATGTGCCCTGATTGGGAATCGAACCCCGATCTCCTGGATCACACATGTTGATGCTCAACCACTGAGCCACACCGGCCGGGCTGCTTTCTTCACAGATGGGTTCTGTCGTTGGTGCTTTGTGGGTGCTCAATATGTATTCTTGAATGTCCTCATGAGTCATGAAAACCACCACATCCCTCTGTTTTCTACGCAGCACTTCTCAATACCACATTTAGGAATTAGTCCATAAACTCACGAGAGCCAGGGCCACAGAACAATGCTCAACAAATATCAAGTATCCAATGTAATATTTATTCAATAAAAAATACACCTCCCACACGTATCTTTAAAAAGTGAATGGGGCTCTGGCCAGGTAGCTCAGTTGGGTAGAGTGTCGACCCTATACACCAAGGTTGAGGGTTCAGTCCCCAGTCAGGGCACGTACAAGAAGCAACCAATGGATGCATGAATGAGTGGAACAACAAATCTATCTCTTTCTCCCCCCCCAAAATCAATAAATAGAAAAATAAAAATAAAAATAAAAAGAGTGAATGGGAAGCTGACAACT